CCGGCCGCGAGACCTGCGAGCGGCATTCTAGTTGACCGACGTGGAGGCTTACCGCGAACGCAAGTTCCGCGCCGCCGCTGAACAGCGGGTCGCCGCGCTCGCGGCTGCGCATCCCGGCGTCTCGAAATTCGAGCTGGTCGCGCTGCTGCGCGGCCACACCGTCGTCGGCATCCGCAACTTCGTAAACCCCAAGAACGCCACTAAGATCTGCGAAGACGTTGTGCTGCAGTTCCTGCGCGCCTCGCTCTCGCTAGACGACTCGCCGTTGCTGCCGAAGATGCTCGTGACCCCCGGCGGCTCCGCCGGCGTCGGCAGCGCCGCACCGAACAAGCGCCGCCGCACCGATGAGCAGCCCCCGCCCGCAGGCTTCGAGTTCGAGTCCGCCGCGCTCGGCGCGCTGCCCAGCCTCGCGGAACGCGCGCCCCTGCTCGAGGAGCTTGTGCTGAGCTTCGCAGCCTTCTTTCGGTCGCCGCCGGCGCAGCCGTCCGCGGCAGTGTACCCTTGCGTCGTTGCCTGCAAAGGCGACGGCAAGACCGCGTTCGTCCGCTCCGCGGCCGCAGACTTTGCCGCACGGCACGCTGCTGGCGCACTGTTCTTGCGCGTTTCCGGCGCGAAGCTCTGCAGCCTCGTCGCTACTGCGGAGGCGGACGCAGTAAAACTGCTCGAAAGCCTCGAGGAAGAGCTCGCGAGCGCGGCAAGCCCGACGCTCGTGTTCTTCGACGACATCGACCTCGTGTTCGCGACGGCCAGCGGCAAAACGTCGGGCAACAAGCGCTGCTCCTACTTTGTCGAGACGCTCACTGCGTTTCTGCGGCTCGCCGCGCAGTCGCTGCGCTGCGTATTCTTTTGCTTCGCGTGCACTGCGTTCAGCGTGCTGGACGAGGCGCTCGCGCACTGCGAAGTGCTCAGCGTGCGTCGCCTAAACCTTCTCGAGCTCGGCGAGGCTGGTCGGCGACAGCTCGTGAAAAGTGCGGCGCATGACGCGGAGCCCGCCGCGCGCGCCCTGTTCGAAGAGCAAACGCCCGCGTTGCTCGCGCTCACCAAGGGCTGGTCGCTGCGGCAAGTTAGCCGCCTGCTGGCGAGCGCCGCGTTTGAAGTGCGCAAAGAGTTGGCGCGCGACGCCGATCGCGCCGCGGAAAACGCCGCGGAAAACGGCGCGGGAACCGACGCCGGAATTCACGCGGCGCTCGCAGCAGAGTGTGCCGCAGAACCTGCTGCGCAGAATTCTGCTGATTGCGCTGCGAACGAACTCAGCGCCGAGCGACGCGCGCTTCTCCTCGCGCGGTTTCGCGCGGTTTGCAGCCAAGCAGCTGCGGACGCCACCGTGTCCGGGTTCACCGAAGTGCCGAGCGTCACACTGGAAGACGTGGGTGGCTTGGCCTCCGTGAAGAAGTTTTTGGCAGAACAGTTTATCGATCCGATCCTGCATCTCAGCGAATACGTCGCGGCGGGGCTGCCCGACGCGTCGGGAGTGCTGCTGCACGGACCGCCGGGCTGCGGCAAGACGCACCTGGCAAAGGCGATCGCAAACGCGTGCGGCTCCCGATTCATGCTGGTCAATGGCAGCGAGCTGCTGGGCCGCTACGTGGGCGAGAGCGAGGAGCGCGTCAAACAACTCTTCGAGAAGGCGCGCGTCTACGCGCCGTGTCTGATCTTCTTCGACGAGTTCGACGCGCTCTGCCCGAGCCGCGCGAACGCGGACACGCACGAGGTGTCGAAGCGCGTGGTGAACCTCTTGCTCACCGAGCTGGACGGCGTGCGGCGCCGACCGGGCGTGTTTGTCGTCGGCGCGACGAACCAACCGAGTCTCATCGACGAAGCCGTGCTGCGCGCGGGGCGCTTCGAACACAAGATCTTCATCGGGCTGCCGGACGCGACCGAGCGCGAAGACATCGTGAAGGTGATTGCGCGCTCCAAGCGCTGGGAGCTCGCGAGCTGCGACGCAGAGCACCTCGCGTCGCTCACGTCCGGCTTCAGCGGCGCAGACCTCAACTTTCTGTTGAATTCGGTCGCCGCACAGTTCTACCGCGCAAACCGCGGAAAGACGCAAGCGATCCGGCTGGAGCGAGAGGCGCTCTGCGCAGCGGTCGAGCAGCAGCTGCTGAACCGCTCGCGCTTTGCGGCCAACGGTTAAACCAATTTCCGGTTTTCCGCGGCCGCCTTTCCGCGGACGTTTTCCGGAAAGGCTAATTGGAGGATAAAAGAGAGCGACGAGATGGACGCGGAGCAACTGTCGCGGTTCCGCACCGGCCTCTGCGTGTCGAAGTGCAAAGCTGGCATCGAGTGCAACGGCGAAGATTGTCCGTACTCACACTGCGTCAGCTGGACGCGGCGCAACCCGTACAAAGTCGCGTACAAGTCGAAGCTCTGCCCAAACACCAAGTTCTGGCAGGAAAACAACCGTCTGCGCGTGAAGACCTGGTGCAAGAATGGCCGCACTTGCAAGTACAGCCACACGAAGGAAGAACAAATGTACCACCCCGCAGTGTACAAGACGCAGACGTGCAAGTTTTACCCGAACTGCCATAAGCAGTACTGCCCGTTCGCGCACGGAGTGAAAGAGCTGCGTTTCGTGCTCGACTGCGAGACGACCGAGGCCGCCACAAGCCGCAGCGCGGACGGCGCGAAGCCCGCGTTCTGGTGCGACAGCGGCAGCGCCGGCGACGAAGCCGAGTTCGACTCAGAGACGCGACTGGTCGACTTGCTAAACAACCTGATTACGCGGCCGCAGCAGCCCGCGCTGCAAATAGAACTCGCGAGCGAGCGCATTTTCTGCAGATCTGCTCTTACGGCGAGCAACGTCAAAATTCTGCAGCACGGCGTCGTCGCATTCAAGCTGTTGGACTGTAATAATTTCTAGTTGAAAAGCGCTGATAACACTTTCGCAGTATTTTTTATATGTAATTCCGGCAACGGGCATGAATGATTTCAGAGTGTTCCTTTTGTCCGGAGTTCCAGTAACTTTAGACTTTGGACAGATTGTTGCCGAAGCCTTGTGCGGGACGCTCAGCGGCAGCCAGACCGGCGTGTTGCGAGTGCAGTCGGAGTTGGGCGGCGACAAGGCTGCCGAAGTGCGGTTGGACGCGCTCGGACACAGCAAACTGAAGACGAAAGTGAGCGGCCTCGTGGAGTTTTTGTTCGAGGGCGCGGAGGGCGGCACGTGTGACTTGCACTGCGTGCTGCTCGAGGGCCGTGCTAAGTTCGGCTACGACCAGCAGTGCACCGAGGCGCCGCATGCCGCGCTTGCCGACGGCGACGCAAAGCGCAGCCGCCGCAACACGCTAGAGCCCTCCACGGCGGGACAAACGGATAGTTTGCGCGAGAGCGCTAGCGAGCACTCTTCCGCAGCAGCCGCGAACTCGCCGGCCGGCGACGCCGGCAGGAAGAGATTTCAGCACCGGGGCGTCGCCTGCGAGATTTTGATTGCGGGCGCGGGCCCCGCACTGCGCAAAGGACAGAAGTGCTGTTTCAAGTACGCCGGATTTTTGACGAACGGGCGGCGCTTCGATAGTGGCGCGCTCACCACGCGGCTCGGCGCGGGCGACGTCATCAAAGGCATGGAATACGCGCTCGAAAACATGCACGTTGGCGAAAAACGCCGCGCGCAAATTCCTTCGCACTTGGGCTACGGCTTGAAACGTGTCGGCAAGATCCCGCCGAACTCGGACCTTATTTTTGAGATTAGCTTGACGCGCATCTGCCGCTAGCTGCACGCTCGCAGCTGTTACGTGATTTTTGATATATCTCAATTTGTAAAATAGGATGTGGCGACTGCCCACAGGTTTTGCACAACTGCGCTTTCGCGCCGAACAACTTTGCCCGAGTCATGGGCTTTGAGTTGCAGCACTACGAGGTCGCGGCTGCGCTGAGCGCGTTGCTCGACGCAGCGCTCGCACGCGCAGACTGCGTGCGCAGCGACCCGCTGCAAATCAAGGCGTATCTGAAGATGCTGGAAGACGCGTTTGCAGAGCTCGCGCTGAGTCCAGCATTCGACGTCGCGGTCAAGTGCAATTTGCTGCGTTGCGTGCACGTCGTACAGTTGGTCTCGCTGGGCGCGAGCCAGCCCGCGCAGGCCTGCGGCAGCGCTAGTAGCTCGCTGAGCCTCTCGTTTGCGAAGCGGCTGAGCATCAGCTACTTGCGTTGGGCCTTGGACGCGCTGGACGAAGGCGACGTAGACGCGATCTACCACGAAACTTGCGAGATCGTGTCCAACAGCGAGCGGCGCTTCGCAGCCGTTTCGCTGCTCTCGCACTTAGTGAACAACGCTGAGCTGAGCGATGCCTGCCAACTGGTGCGGCGCAACCTTGCGGCTCTCTTTCTGCTCGGCGCGTGGAGCAGGTTCATAGACGTCGTGCAGCAGTGCTGTTGCGAGTCTGACTGCGTGGCGCAGATCTTTATCGAGACAATCGGCGAGTACTTCCCGGAGAACTCGTATCAGCTCGACTACTTCAGCAACAATCTGCACCCCATGCTGTTCTCCAAAGAGCTGGGCGACATGCTGCGCGCGCTGTCAGCCCGCATTTGCGCCGCGAAGCCGCTCATCAGCGAAAACCACGTTTTGCTGCCGCTTATCAAGGTTCTTTTCGCCGATGAGATTGGCGTTTCGCAGAATTTCGACTCTCACGTGTCGCTACGAAAAAGCGAACTGGAGCAGCATGCCTTTAACTGCGAAGCGCCATCGCTGGAGAACCCCTCGTCGGATTCCTCCTCGTCTGACTCGGAGGCTGCAACCACTGTCCGGTCGGTCGCGCATTCAGGCGGCTGTGCAAGCGCCGTCTGTCGCACCGACGGCATTTTTGTGTCGCCGATTATGAGTTTTCTGCTCGAAGACGTGTGGTTCAATCGTGAACTCAATAAATTGCCCGAACTGACTTACGCAATTCCTCTGTCGACGCGGTTCAGGTCGTGGATCAAACGCTACGCCAACCGCTCGCTCAAATTACAGGCGGATGAAACGGTATATTCGTTGTACTTTCGCGGAGACGTGACGACTATGCTGCACCTACTCGGCGAAAATCAGCGCGAGTTTTTGCCGCTGTTTTCGGTGTTGGTGGCGCTGCCGTTTACCGTGCAGCGGAACATTTCGTACGAGACTTTCTACGACGTTCTGTTCAACGCGTTGCACTACGTCGCCACCGCGATGGAGTCTTCTGACGCGTTTATGCGCGGCTTTGACCAATTGAGCAACATTCTCAAGCCCTACAGACGGCTGATTGTTGCTTGCAACTTCCCGCTGAAATCTGTCGATGTGGGGTCGCTGAAGCTGTTGTCAACTGCGGCCGCGAAGGAGTCGCTCTGGAGAAACATGCTTCTGGTCTGGGTGGCTAAGTGCCTGCCTGGCGAGAGCCGGAAGCCGTTCTCCAGTTTCTGCTTCGAACGTCTCAGCGAGATTGCGGAGCGGAGCGAAACAGACGCGCTGCGCATTTATGCTCTCTACCAACTAATTATTCTGGTGTCAGAGTTTGCGAGCGACATGGTGGGCGGCTCTGCCGCGCCTTTGCTTAACGCGCAGTTTAACGCAGCGTTGAAAACTTTAAAGGCGCAATGCGACAGTTTCAGCAGCAACAAGGGTAAGGCAGCAGCAGTGCTGCGCGAGCATTTGCGCATTGCGACCGACTACTGTCTATACTTGAAAAACTTCTTCCTGTACAAGCGTTTTCACTTGCTTGTTGTAGACGCGCTGCGTAGCGTGGCGGTGAAAGATTCTCAGTTGGGCTGCGTAGCGTTTCTGCTATGTCTGCGCCTCATAGCCTATCTTCCTGAGGACGCTGCGTATCTCAGCAGCGCTCTCAGCGAACTCAGCAGTAAGTTTTCGTCGCGACTACGCAGGCACTGTGGCTTTCAGCGAAACAGATCTGCTCAGCATTTTAGAAATTCAGCGCGCGTGTCCTGCGTTTTCGAGCGCGAGCTGCGGTTTGCAAAGCGCGTTGAGCTCCGCGTTGCTGGACCTTGCTGAAAAAACCGAGAGCGAAGCAGTGTACAAAGGCGGGTACGGCTCTGTGCAGCAGTACCTTGCTGAGTTTTATGTGCTGTGCGAGTAGCGGGTCGCGCAACGCCTTTCGCGCTTTGTTGCGCACTTCGTAAAATATTAGTTCCGTGACGCGCTCTGAAAAATCCGTAAAGCGGAGATGCTTGTCTGCGCTGCAACCTTGGCCGTACTGCTGAGCGCCGCGGCCGGAGACGACACAGTCGGCGTTTTCCAAAGCGAGCTGCAGACGGAAGCCATCGTCAGCCACGTCCTGCACGACCCGCAGCGCGAAAAAGATGAGAAACGCGACGGCGACATTGTGCGATCTCAATTTCCACGCTGCGCGTTAGCCTGCGTCGAAGCAATGTTTCGCGACGGCTGGTGCAACTCCGAGTGCTACAACGAAGACTGTAACTGGGACGCTCCGGACTGCGAGAACTGGTGCAACGCGGAGTGCAAGCCTGAGTGGATTGGCGACGGCGTGTGCGACAAGGTGTGCTACACGGCGGCGTGCAGCTTCGACAAGGGCGATTGCGGCGTGCAGAGCGCGACGCTGGGCGCAGCCTACGCCTTTGCGTCTCCCGAAACTTTCGACTTCGCGCGGTGCCCCTGCGAGCAGTTCAAGCTGGAGAACGGTCACTGCGACTTCGAGTGCGACTTACCGGAATGCAACTTCGACAACGGCCAGTGCGCGGGACTCTGTGCCAAGGACTGCTGGTACAACTGGGTCGGCGACGGCGAGTGCGACCGTAAGTGCTTTGTCGCGGAATGCGGCTGGGACAAGGGCGACTGCGAGGAGTGCGCGCCCGGCTGCAGGCCCGATTTGATCGGCAACGGCATTTGCGACAAGGTGTGCATGAAGAAGTCGTGCCACTGGGACATGGGCGACTGCGCAAACATTTGCGCAGTGCAGCCGGTGGACTACGCGGCGCAGCCGTTTGAGTATCACGCGTGCCGAAAGGAATGGGTGGGCGACGGGAAATGCGACTGCGACTGCAACAACAAAGAGTGCAACTTCGACGGCGGCGATTGCGCCGGCGCCGAAGATCCTTGCGACACAGGAGCTACCGCGATGGCGGAAGCGGCGGAGACTCCGCGATCTACGCCGTCAGCGGCGAGGCAAACGAAAAATAAATAGAATTAATCCTCAAAATCTTCGCTTTAATTATTTTGAGAAGCGCGACTTTGTGCGATGTTCTTCGGAGGAATTCCTTTCGGCGCGGGCGGCGGCTTTGGCCACGGTGCTCCGCAAAGCGCCAACAACACGAGTTTTTACGAGAGACTCGGAGTTCCGCGCAATGCGTCTGCTGCGGACATTAAGAAAGCGTACAGACGCGCTGCAATGAAGGCGCATCCGGACAAGGGCGGCACGGAGGAGCAGTTTAAAAAGCTGAATGAGGCGTACGACGCCCTCTCTGACGAGAAAAAGCGGCAGATCTACGACGAGTACGGCGAGGAAGGTTTGCAGGGCATGGACGGCTCGGGCGGTGCCGACTTCGGGAACGATTTGTTTAGCATGTTCTTCGGCGGCGGCCAAGGCCGCGGCCGGCAGCGCGGGCCGAAAAAGGGCAGCTCGGTGGAAAAAGCACTTCACTTTACGCTGGAAGAGTTTGCGGCGGGCGTCGTGAAGAAGTTACAGAACACGAGAAAAATTGTGTGCGCCTCGTGTCGCGGCGAGGGCGCGGCGCCAGAGCACATCACCGTTTGCAACGAGTGTAAGGGTTCGGGCATGCGCGTCGTCACCACGCGCGTGGGCCCGATGATCACGCAGACGAACACGACCTGCGGCGACTGCCGCGGCCGCGGGAAGCGCGTGGACCGTGACAAGTTGTGCAAAAACTGTAGCGGCGTGGGAACGGTTATGTCTAACGACATGATCGAAGCCATTTTGCCCTCTGGCGCGCCCGCGAACTATCGCATCGTGCTTTCGGGCATGGCGGAGGAGCAGCCGGGTGAGCTGCCGGGCGACCTGATCATTGTGGCGCAAGAGAAGCCGCATCCGCTCTTCGTGCGTCGCGGCGAGCACCTGATCTACAAGGCGAAGATTTCGCTGAAAGAGGCGCTCTGTGGGCACACGATCAGTTTGAGCGACGTGCTCGGCGAGAAAATTTTCATCAAAGTCACGAACGTCGTGTCGCCGAGCGGCGTCTACGTCGTTTCCGGCTACGGCATGCCTTTCATGAAGAACAGCGCGAAGCGCGGCAACCTGTACATTCAGTACGAAGTGGAGTACCCGAAGCAGTTGAACGTCGAACAGATTAGCGGGCTGCTGCGGCTGCTGCCGGGCAACTACAGCGGCTTCCAGACGCCGCCGCCCAACAGCCGCATGGTTGCCGCGGTCGCGGGACAGGCACCGATTCCGACGAGTTCCGGCCAAGGCGCGCAGCGCCACGCCGGCAGCGGAGAGGAGAGCGAGCACGAGTCCTACCGCGGCGATGCGGTGAACTGCCAGCAGGCGTAGGAGGATAATATTAAGTTTCGTTATTCTTATTTCGCGGCGCTTCTCGTGGAAGCAATGGACCCCGAGTTTCGCAAAGACTGCGAAACAGTTTTTAAAATTGTGGAACAGCCCGGCCTCGGCGGACTGCCGTCGCGCGACGTGGTGGCCGCGTTTAAGGCGCTTGAGATCATTGTTGGCGAGGAAGACATTTTCCGCGAGTTCGAGCGACACGGAGTCGTTGACGAGAACAGTTTGGTTTCCCTGGGTGCGTTCGTGCAGATGGCCGCGGCTCTGCGGCCGAAGGTCGCGAGCGAGGTGAGCATCTCGCGTTCGTTCGCCTTGCTCGACGACCGCGGCAAAGGCTACGTGGACACGGACGACTTGCGCCAGAAAGTTGGCGCGCTGAGCCTCGACATCTCGTCGGAGGATTTGAAAAATATGATGAAGTTTGTGGATTGCGAGGAAAAAGGTTTCATCACGGCCGCAGATTTCGTGAAAGCCATGAAAAAGAGCGAAGAGTTTTACGCGCACCGCTTCGCGTTGCTGGACTGAGGCGCGCGCAGCGCAAAAAGCGAGGCGCTCAGCTTTCCGGCGACGCAGAGTGTGGGCGCGTCGCGCGCACCTGCGCAGTCCGCGAAGCTGACTTCCTGAAACGCGCGAAAGACGTGCGGCGCCGCGAAGTCGAACAGCTCGTAGAGCGCGACTTCTCCCTCGGGCCACACGGCGAGCAGCCGGTGGTCGAGCGCGCGCGAGAGCGCAACTGGGAACAAGAAGAGCTGCGAGAGCCCGGAGGCCGCTGCGCGTAGCGAACCGTCGAGGTGCAGTGCGAACAGTCGGTGGTCCGCCGCGTACGCGAAGATGTGTTGCGCATCGGCGCAAGCCGCTACTGCGTGTAGCGCGCCGCGCAGCTCTACGCCGAACTCGGCGCGTCGCAGATGCTCGCCGGCGCTGACGAGCAGCTCTTCATCCGAGACGAAAACCGCCGCGTAGCCCGAGGGGTCTGCGCGGGGTGGCGCGCAGAGCGCAGAGATCTCCGCGGTGAACTCGTGCAGGACGCGCATCTCGCGCTCGCCATAGATCCGCGAGATACAGAACGCGGTCTTGAAGTCTGCGGCGAAGAGCGTGTCACTGGGCGCGTGGTACACCGGCGCGAGCGCGGGGTGCTGGACCACAGCGAGCAGTTTGTCGCCGCAGTAGACATCACCGCCGATCAACTGCACGACGGGTTCGCCGGCTGTGGGCACGATGTGCTTGATGGACTGCGCGTATTCACGCAACAGTTGAGGCGCTGCGCCGCGCGCAGCGCAGTAGAGCGCGGCACCTTCTGCGCAGAAGAGCTCGCCTGCGTCGCCGAGCGCTACGGCGGTAAGCGCGCGCGAGACCGCGAAATGCGAGTCAAGGAGCTCCACAAGCGCTGGTTTTAAATTCGCGAAAATTCGCTAGTCTTCGTGAAGCAATTCTTGCAACACTTCCACCGGCAGACCTTCCTTCGCATCGCAAATGTTCCATTTGAAGCGGTCTCCGTAGATCTCTTCGAAGGAGGACACGTTGATCAAGATTAAGATTTTGAACAGTTTTTCTGTGCCCGCTTCGCTCAACAGCTTATCTTCGCCGTAGTCACTGGTCGTGCAATTGATGATCAACACCACGAGCGTCGAGCTGAGCAGACTGTGGTTTAGTAAATATGCGAGGTGCAGCCGTGCCTGAGCGATTTCTTCGGACGAAGAGTCGCACGAGAGCGTGAACAACACGGCCTCGGTGATAGAGCACGCTAGCGCTGAAATCGTAGCGCTCGCGAGGTCCGGGTTGCTTGGCGTGTCCCACACAATATAGGACTGGTCGAAAGCGGCTTCTTCAGCAGCGGGCAGCTCGGTGGAGCTCAGGTGCGGCAGCATTTTGGCGAGCGCGACTTGCGGAAAAGCGAGTCGCAGCCAGATCAGAGTTTTACCGGAGCGCGGCATGCCTGCAATGATCAGGTTCTTGCGTTGGATTGTCGCGACGCGTTTTGCGGCTGCGGCAGTCTGCTTGGTGCAGCTGCAGCAGGAGAGCTTGCGCAGCGCGACGCGGAGCGAGAGCTCCATGCTACTGACTGCTGCTTAGGTTCAGGGTCGACAGCTGCGCAAGTTCTGTAGGCTCGAGGTTGCGAAGCAGTGCCTGAATCAAGCGCAGGCGGTTTTCCGATGAAAACGCGTTGGCTTGGTGAATTAAATAATTGATCGTTGCACCCGCGAAAATGGGCCGCAGGTAGAGCCAAGTGAACATCGCCATGATCGACTGGCAGTCAAAGCGGTCAGTAATGCCGCCGTGCCCGGGTATCAGCGCGCCAAAGTCTTTGATGCTTAAATGCCGCTTGAAGGTGCTTGCCAGAAAGCCGCCGAGCGGTGCGAAGATCGCGGCGACGAGGCCGAGGATGAAGAAGTCGAGCCATGCATGTCGAAAGAATATTTTGCGCCCAAATATCGAGACCGACTGCCAGACAAAGCGCGGATTGATGAGCTCCCTGGGCAGCTGCGTGTTGCGCCAGAGCGGGAGCAGCGAGAACGGCACGTCCGAGTAGGTCAGCACGGGGTAGCGCACCAGAAACTCGCCAAACGCGACGGACCAGATGATCGTCGCGCCGATCGCGCCGACGAAGCCTTCCACTGTCTTGTTCGGGCTGATGTGCATCAAGCTGGTCTTGCCGAAACTGCAGCCGAAGATGTACGCCATGGTGTCGTTGATGATCACGCAAGTCGTCGAAACCAAGAACCAGATGAGTCCGGAGTTGATTACTTTGACTTGCGAAACACCTTGCATCACGATGATCACAGCGACGAAAATGGTCTTGATCTCCGAGACCACTTCGCTGGAGAGATTCGAGAGCCGCAGCCCGAAGACAAAATGCGTGATCGCCAGTAACAACAGCAGATAGCAGCACAGTGAGAGGTGCTGCTCGACGTAGGGTAGGTTCTTCACAAAGAAGTTTGTCAACCGCAAGTTGAAGCCCATCGCGCGGTACGTGTCGTCCGAAACGTTCAGCAGCAGCCGACTGCAGTGCTCTTTGAGCGAGGAGATCAGCGCGATGAAGTACCAGAAGATCGTCTGCTTCGTGCGACGCGAAGTTTTTTCGACCGAGAGATAGCTCACTTCGTAAAAGCTGTATGAGCAGAGCAGCAACACCAACAGCGCGCAGTAAAAGTGTCCAAGCGTAATGATGAAGACGAATCCGAGCACCATGAACACTGTCGAACTGCGTTGCGCGCGCAATCACTTACATTAATCGTTGGCCGAAGGTGGCCCACTTGTTTTTCCGCACGGCCGTCCCGTCATTCGGCGCGAGCGTAGCAAATGCCGGCGCGGCCGACTCATAATTGTCTAGTTTGCGGTGGTGTAGCATGCGCGCTCGCTTCGGAACGCAGCGTCAGCCAATAGATCAACCGAAAAATCGGATATTTTAATCAATTAATACCGTGAGCGGACAGTCGTAGGTTTTTACTGTGTTGAGCAGCTGCTCAAGATTTTGCTTGATCACCTGCGGCAGTGCGTTGGTCAACGTTCTCGTGATTTCTTCCTTACGCTCAGGCGTCGTTTCTGCGGCGTCGTAAAGCTTACTAACTTTTGCAGCGAGCGAAGCGACGCAGAGCTCGCTCAGCGCTGAGTGGATCGTCAACTCCTCGCCGATCGAGACCCAGCACATGCTGATCAGCGTGCTCTCGTAGGGTGCTGGCCAAAACTTCATCTTGAGGATATTTCTGCCATAAAAAGTAGTCTTTATGCTCGGACCCGCGACGTTCGTACAAGAGAGCTGGTAGTTTTGGTAGATTTTTTTGTAAACTAACTTCGATAAGCGCAGCGGCAGCGCGCCGTTCAGCAACAAGAACCAGCAGTACATCATCATGCGGTGGTTGCGGCCTTTGAACTTCATCGTCTGCTTCTTCAACGTGACGATCTCTTCGACAAAGTTATTGAACAAGCAGCAGTTCGATGAGTCGAACGCGGGGATCGGCAGGTTCAGCCGCGCCATGCTCGTCTCGGAGTTCAGCGTCGTCGGAAATTTCGTACGGCACATGCACGGGATGATTGTGGAGCGCATTGCGGCAGGGAAGCGCTCAGCCGTGTCGTTGAGCTGCTGTTCGCGCGATCTTGCTTTCAGCACGTTGCTAGGGTAGTAGTTTTCTTTTGATTGCGACTGCGTCGAGTCGCCGTTCGTGCCGCCGAAGTCTTCGTCGCACACGCGTTTCAGCACTGAGCTCGCCTGCAGCTGCGCTATCGACTTCGTCAACAAATAGAGCAGCGTGTCGTTGATAGTAAGGCGCAGCGGTTTGCCGGTCGCAGTCAAGACTTTGTGTTCGACCAGCTTGTTAAGACTGCGGATCTCGCTGAGCAACAGCTCACTTCCTTCGCTGATCAGACGTCGGGTGCGCGAAATTTCAAAAAAAGTCCAGCGCTGGTTGGTCAGAATGCAAGGCTCATTCCGGCTATGCGCGTAAATCAGCACTGCGGAGAGCCCAAACAGAGCAGCTTTCGCAAAACAGTACGCGTAATACAAGATGCGCAGTGGAGTGAACACCTGCTTTGTGTAGTTCTCTGGAAGGCCAGCGGTGTTGACCGGCTCATCGCCCAGTTTCTTTGCAATGAAAGCTGCGATCCCCGAGCCGTCCATGATCAGGTGGTCGATCTTGATGTACAAACAGGTGATCGTTTTCAGCTGCAGAACGTGCACCACCCAGCCAGGTTGTGAGCTGGGAATTTCTTTGTCGTACAGCGTCTGGAGCAAGTGCTCATACTCGTCCGACTCCGTGTAGACGTGTTCGAAGAAGTGATTGTGGATGTCGAAGTCTTCCGCAAGCTTGTATGCAGCGCGGCAGAACGTCTTGCCGACGACGCAGCGGACCTTCGGCTCCGAGTTCAGCCAGCGGGTTGTGAACAGCCGCATGCACTCGTTTAGTGGCACGTGATCGCTCAATGCTATTGCCATCGAAAGATAAAACCGAGTCTCTTGCAGTGTGAAGGTCAGGTCGGTCGGTTTGATGCACATGTCGCTGGGCCGAACCACGAGAAAGCGTAAAAAGTCCCTGTAAGAAGCTCGGAACCGCCCCAGCAGTGTGCGAAGCGCGAAAAAAATGCATCGTGTCCGCAGCGAATCGAACGCTACCGAGTAGTCGACGAGGTCGTTCTCCCACGAGGGGCCGCTGCACTCCGCTCTCGAAGTTTTCAGCGTTTCCGACTGCTGCAAGTACTCAGCTGAACGCTTCGCTAAAGAAAAGCCGTCGATGCAGTAAACCAGCACGTAGTCCATTAGCGCGAGCAAGGCTAGCACCGCGCTGCTGAGCACAGACAGCGGTATTAAAAGGAGTTCAAAGAGGAACTGCCAGCTAAAGCAAGCAAACATGGTTCGGCTTTGCGATCGAAATGACGCACTGAGGCCGACTATTACCGTAGTAGAAAGCCGACGACAAATAAAGATAAACGCAGAAAACCAGCGCGCTAGAAAACTGCGTGTTCGGAAAACCGCGCGCTCGACGCGATTAGTCGATCGCGAGACACAGTTGTTTCAACGCTTTTTTGCAGGCAAGGTCGACTTCTTTGATGCGTTCGAGCAGCATGCCAGACTGCTGAAACTGCAGCACTTCGCGCGCAAGATCGCCAAAATTTGAGAAAAGCCGCAAAACCTCATGGACAGCAACGGCCGACAAACCGGGGACACAGAGCAACTGCTGCTGAAACAGCGGCTCGAAGCCAGCGTTTGCCTTGTGGCACAGCTGGTTGTACTCCTCAATTGAGAGAGGTTTGTAGAATGCCGCTTTGTGTTGCAGTTCCATGTTCAGCTTGGTGCTCAGCGAAGCCAGGTGCGCGGCAGTAGTTTTAATGTCCTCACTGAACAAATATAGCGCGTGCGGAGAGATCGCGACGCTTAGTATGCAAGACTGCAACAGCGCAACGTTCAGCTGCATCTTGTCAGCGCTCTGCTCTACCAGCACGATAACCTTCGTCAAGTTTTCTGAAGCGAGTTCAGCCGTTTTCAGCCGCGTCAGGCGAAACCACTGTTCAGAGTAGCGGCCGTCGCTCACGCTCTGCAACAGGTCTGCGAAGGTTTTGCGCTCGACGACGGTAGGCACAACGTTGTAGTGCAGCAGCCTGTCGAGCTCCTCAACAGCGCTAGCGGCGCTAGCGGGCGTCTTGCTAACTTTGTAGCGTTTGCGCACGAGTTTTTCGCTGACGGCGCACCACAGGAAGTCGCCGAGCGCAAGCTGCATTACCGTCATTTTCACGTGGCTTAGGTAGGCGCTGAGGGCGGGGTAGTTAACGTGCTCGCGCGCGTCGACGACCAAGTGCAATCCGAGATCTTTCTCGGCCTCTAGCTCTGTGGAGACCGGCTTGCGCTTGCGCGGCGCCTTCGGTTGCGCAGCTTCGGCTTCCGCGCTGGCACTTAAGTGTGCCTGAGCGTCCGTTTTCGCTTTTGCTGTCGCGAGCGCCGGCGTGTTCTTGAGTACCGCGTCAAGTTGCTGCAGCAGTTGGAGCGCCGTATTTCGCTCGATGGGCTTCGTCTCGCAGCCCTCCGCGCAGAGTCGCTTGATGTGTTCGCGCATGACGGGCCCGACGCCCCTGAGCGGCGCGTCGCAGTTTGTCGCAGTCAGCGGCAGCGGGTAGCGCAACAAACTGGAGGGAACGCACTTGATGTTGAGGCGTCGCGACTTGAAGGCGAAGGCGCGGAGTTTTTGGTAGAGTTCGTAGTTTGAAAAGTTGACCACCATTGCGCCTCCGCGGCGCAACCGGCTCGCGATAAATTTAGTTAAAATTGTGGCGCTTTAAATGGCCTGTAATTGTAAGTACGAAGCGATTTGCCGCAGTTGTCGGTCTAGTAACGTGCGGAAAGCAGGTTGGGGCGGCCTGCGCCTCTGTTTGCGATCACTGCTCGTTCCAGTGTCCGCTCTGCTCGTCCTACCAAGAGCCTACGGAAAAGATGCTGATCTGCGACGATTGCAACGCGGGACTCGAGGGCTCGCGCTGCGTCGTGTGCAACGGCAAGGGCGAGGCGCCTGCGTATTTTTGTCGCGAGTGCGTGCTGCTCGGGAAAGACCGAGACGGTTGTCCGTGTTTCGTGCAACGGAAAGACTTCACCTTTGGGCGCGTCCAGCAGCTCGGCGCGCGGTTCGCGCCGCACGGCTACGCAGTGCCGCCCACTGCCGACCAGCAAGTCAAGCCGCCTTAGCGGAGGGTCTGCACTCGACAAGTCTCGGCTCTTTGCCGCTTTGCGCGCAGCTGTAGAGTTTCGCGGACCAGTCGACCGGCGAGTAGGCGCCGAGCTGCGCGAAGAGTTGTTTGCCGAGTACCGAGTACCACAGCGCCGAGCCGAGGAAAGAGATGGCGCCGAACGCGGCTACAGAAGAGGTCGGCGAGCCTTGGAAGCAGTTCAGTAGTTTGAGCACGAGCACGGGCGGCCACTTGGAGCCGAGGTTGGCGAGCGTGTTGAAGACAGTCATGTGCGTGCCGCCGATGCTGACGTCGCTCATGTGGCTGAAGTACGACATTTGAGCGACGAAGATCCCTTCCGAGAGCGCGTGCGAGAGCAGCGCGGCGAACAAGTAGGCGGCGACGCCACCGAACGAGTCGGCGCCGACGCGCGCGATCAGCGCGAACAGCAAGACGAACGCCGGAATCAGCCACATTTTCGCGACGAAGATCAGGCGCATGAGGTGGATCGCCGGGACGCGGCGGTCAATCAGCACGCTGTAGACTGCGCTGGTCACGACGCTAAGCGCGAGGCACAGCATGGAGGCGAGCGCAATCGTCGTGTTGGTGAGTCCGACTTCGACGCACTTCGCCAGGAAGATGGAGTCGAGAAAGGCGAAGCCGACTTTGTAGGTGAGCAGCAGGCGGACGCACTGCTTCATACTCGGGCAGAAAAACATGCGGTAGATCGAGCGGTATGTGTCGGTGACGCTGGTCACGGCGGCCGCGTGCTCGGTCAGCGTCGCGAGTCCGAGCAGCGTGGACACGAAGAAGAGTAGCGAGCCGTAGTGCATCACGCCGGCCTGCGTGACGGAGAGCCAGCCGAGGCGCTCTCTGGGCAAGCCGCGGCCGCCGCCGGGCGCGAAGAGCAGAAAGAGGATGCTGAGGCTGTAGAGGCCGAGGTTCTGGCCGACGTTATTGCAGATGGAGGCGAATCTGCATGCGCGCGCGCGAGACTTACTTCTTGTGCTCCGGAGGCAAAATTTCGATCGCCCAGCCGTCGATCACGATGTCCTGCGTGGCCATCAGAAAGTAGAGCGCGCCGTAAAAGAGCGTGAGCCAGAGCACGTGCACTTTGAGGTCCGCGTTGGCGGTCCACCAGTCGAGCGCGTTCGTGCGCTGACTGAGGTGCATCAGCAGGGCAGTGCTCAGCTGAACCGCGGCAAACCAGGACTTGCGGCGGCCGAATGGCTTGAGCTGCGTGCTGTCGACGAGCGGCGCCCACAGCAGTTTCAGCGTGAACGGCAGCACCGCGAGATTGAACAGCGCCAAACTCGAGTAGCTCGCGCCGTTCCGCTGCAACACGACCGGCAGTGCCGTGGAAATGCCGATTGGAATCGCCTGCAGCGAGTACAGCAACACAAGCAGGAAAACTTTGTAGAGCAGCGCCCGCCGCATCGCAAAGGCTGCTCGGCGTGCGCGCGATCGACTCGCTTTAAAAAATCGGAAATTAGAATAAGCGTGGCGCGGCGCGGCGCTAGCACTGCAGAAACACGGCGCTGAGTTCTTGCTTGGTGCGCAGACTCGCTTTGGCTTTGTCGAAACCGGCGGCGGCCGCGCGCAACTTGCCGGGCTCTTTGGTTCGCGGCGTCGCGAGCTTGTGCGGCAAGTTCGCCTTCAGCAGCGCGAGCTTCGCGAGCGCCGCGGACGTTGCGAGCGGGGCGGCGGGCGGCTCCGCGTCGGTCGGCGCATCGCGCTGCGCGAACAGCTCGGCGTGCTGCAGCTGGATCGGGTGCACCAGCGCTTGTTCCGCGATCTGGAAGCCTGCGCGGTACTGCTGCTTGAGGAGCTCGTAGAAAATGCCTTCGCGCGCGGCGATCGAGATGAGCTCTTCGTTCCGGCGTAGCTTTGCGCGCTCCTGGATGCTGAAGTAGCGGTCGCGCGTGAGCTGTGCGCCGGCGGCGAGCCGCTGCTCGGCCTCGGCGACGAGCTTGCGGTCTTGGCAGTTGCAGAGCGTGTCGATAATGTCTTCGCGCGTCTCGACGTAGTCTTCGTACTGCGGCGTGGACTCGAAACAGGCGCGGTCCGCGTTCATCGTCTCCGTGACGCGCGCGCGGACTGCGTGCGCGGTCTCGAACTCGCGCAGCTCTTGCAGCCAAACGGAGACCTGCCGCGGCTCGCTCGTCTTTCCGCAGAGCGGGCAGGTGTAGCGCGCGGCGCCCGGCGGCCACTCGAGTTCGCCCTTGAAGTTCAGCGTCGCGGCGTGCGCGCGGCTAAAGCAGTTGAAGCAGACGCCGTGCCCGCAGACTTGCGAGCGCACGAGCCGGATTTTGCGCGCGCTCTGCTGCTGCTTGCACAGCGGACACGTCAGCAGCGCGACGTCGGACGCGCCGGTTGGCAGCTTCGACATTCGCGCGCACGACGACTATGTACGCTACGACACAACGCGATCGCGGCACTCAATATGTTACTATCTAAAAAGTTATAAATTTTCGCCGAGCCGGCTCTTTAATAGAGCCACTACATTTTGCAATAAGGTTTCGTTGGCTTTGCAGTCCGAACCTTCCACGTAGATCCGCAACACGTCTTCGGTGCCGCTGGGGCGCACGAAGCAGACGCAGTTCGGGCTCGCCGCGACCAGCGCTTCGAACTCTGCGTCGAGCGCGGGCGGGTGCAACACGTACTTGCGCAGGTGGCTGCCAGGCGTAATTCTATCTAACTGCTGCCGACGCAGCGGCAACTTCGCGTGGCAACAGTGCAGTGCGGTGTAGAGCCCGAGGGCGTAGTCGAGATCCGCATCGAGGTAGCGCAGACACGTCAAGAAGAAGAGCGCGTCGACGACGGCGTCGCCGACGGTCTCGTTGACGCAGCGCAGCAGGCTCAGGAGCTGGCGGTACGGCTTGCTCTCCGCGATTTGCAGCGTCTGCGCCCAGCGCTCGATGCGCGCCATGTCGTAGACTATGGTGCCGTGGCCGTTCGACTCGAAGTACAGCGCGATGTCGAACTCGCGCGCCTTGGCGTGCAGAAAGCGTACGCCGGTTGGACTCTGCGCGGTTTCGAAGGTCGCGACGCGCGTCTGGCTCAAGAAGTTTGCGAAAAACTGCGTGGAGGCGCCGTTCGCGTACGCCGTCTGGATCAAGCCGATGCGCAGCACGGCCTTCGGCTCGCAGTCGAACGTCGCGAGCAGCGTCGCGAGCGCCTTGAAGTAGACCGACAGGATGCGGTCGCCGTCGATCAGCCGGAACTGCTTCTCGCGGATTGCGAAGAACAGCACGCGGTCCGCGTCGCCGTCGAACGAGATTCCGTTCGCGTGCTCGAGCGCCTCAAACGAGTCCGGCGCGCGCTGCGCCTTGTGCACGAATTCCGCGCCGCAGCCGGTGTTCAGCCGCTGCGCATTCGCCGCATTGCGGATGCTGATGCAGAAGCCCAGCCGCGAAAACACCTCCACGAAGCTGGGCACTACGAGACTCGCGACGCCGCCCGCGCAGTCCACATAAAACAAGGGCTTCTGCGCGTACTCGGGCAGCTCCAGTGCGGCGATTGCGTCGCCGTACGCGGCGACGTAGTGCTGCACGTATTGCCGCCGAAAGTCGAAGTCAGCAGGCAGTTCGCCCCGCGCGCTCACGTACTTCATCGCCCAGTGCAGCAGTGGCGTCGTCGCGAGGCCCAGCGAGACAACGCGACCGCTCGCCTCCGCCACGCCTTTCGCCAAAAGCTGCGCCAGGTGCGGCGAGTGTTCGCGGTTGTCGTGCGCCACGTACACCACCATAGCTACGTCCGCGGCGCGCCGTGCGCCGAACTGCTTCGCCGCGAGCTCCTCGCGCGCAGCGGCTGACTCGCAGTTCGCAAACGCCTCCAAGAACGCCGAGTCCTCAGCGCTCGCCATTTCGCCGTCCCACTGTATGAACTTCGTGCCGTTGTCTTCGGGCGGGTTGTGCGAGGCAGTTATCATCACGCCGAACGGCTTACCGCCGTGCGCGCGTGAGAGCTCCGCGGCGCCTGCGCCGCAGTTACTAATTATTTTTTCCAAGACACTGTGATGCGTACGAAAGCCGCAGGTTCCGAACTTAATAATCTCCACCATAAATTCTATTTTGCTCTCCTGTTTTTCACGTTAATATTCAATTATCTGCGTTTTTTACCGAAAGCGATGGCCTCTGTTCCGCACAAGTTCTGTTGGGAGAACCAGAGCAAAATCGCCGACAGCGATCTCGCTGCCTTCGGGCGTCGCGAGATTGCGCTCGCAGAAACCGAAATGCCCGGGCTCATGGCGATTCGCGAAGACCACCGCGCGGCACAGCCGCTGCGCGGCGCGCGCATTTCAGGCTCGCTGCACATGACTGTGCAAACTGCGGTCCTCATCGAGACGCTGAGCGCGCTCGGCGCGCAAGTTCGCTGGTGCTCTTGCAACATCTTTAGCACGCAGGACCACGCGGCTGCCGCAGTCGCGGCGGCAGGCAGCGCAACGGTTTTCGCCTGGAAGGGCGAGTCACTGCAACAGTACTACGACTGCACCGAGCAGGCGCTCATGTTCTCGGCCGCCGGCGAGGGGCCGGATCTCATTGTCGACGACGGCGGCGACATGACCTTGATGGTGCATGAAGGCGTGCGCTTCGAGCTCGAGTACGAGAAAACCGGCCAGCTGCCCGAGTTGAGCAAAGACGCGGAGCTCTCTGTGCTGCAGACCGTGATCTTGCGTTCGCTCACGCAGTACCCGACGCGCTGGCGCGCGCTCGCGAAGTGCGTCAGGGGTGTCAGCGAGGAAACCACCACAGGCGTGCACCGCCTGCACCGGCTCGAAGAGCGCGGCGAACTGCTTTTCCCCGCGTTCAACGTGAACGACTCCGTCACGAAAAGCAAGTTCGACAACATCTACGGCTGCCGCCACTCGCTCGTCGATGCGATTTACCGCGCGACGGACTTCATGCTCTCCGGCAAAAAGGCGCTCGTCTGCGGCTACGGCGACGTCGGAAAGGGCTGCTGCAAGTCGCTGCAAGCGCAAGGCATGCGCGTGTTCGTCACCGAAGTCGACCCGATCTGCGCGCTGCAGGCGCAGATGGAGGGCTTCGAAGTCGTCAAGCTCGAGGACGTCGTGTCCGAGTGCCACCTGTTCGTGACCGCCACTGGCAACTGCAACGTGATCTGCTACCGACACATGGAGCGAATGCGCGAGAACGCTATCGTTTGCAACATCGGGCACTTCGACAACGAGATCGAAGTCAGCGAGCTGCAGCGCCTCTGCCGCCGCGAACAAATCAAGCCGCAGGTCGACCGCTTCCAGTTTCCGAGCGGGCGCAAAATTATTTTGCTCGCCGAAGGCCGGCTGGTCAACCTCGGCTGCGCCACCGGACACCCGTCTTTTGTAATGAGTTGCTCCTTCGCGAACCAAACGCTCGCGCAGCTGACCCTGTGGAACAACCACCACAACCTCACTAAAAAGGTCTACGTGCTGCCAAGAGAACTCGACGAGAAGATCGCGGCATACCACGTGAAGGCACTCGGCGGCAAGCTTACAGTGCTCTCGGACGATCAGTCCAAGTACATCGGTGTGCCGGTCGCCGGTCCCTTCAAGCGGGACTCGTACCGCTACTAGCCGCTGCTCGCTGCCGCGGCACCAGGTTAAGCAGCGTTTCTGCGAAAGGCGGCAGCAGCACGTGGTTGAACTTCGCGCTGGCTGCATCCAGCGCGCGCGCCGCGCCGGTTGCGCAACGTTTCCGCGTGAGCTCTGCCGTGAAGTACGCGGCTGACTTGCTGCAACTCTCGAGTTCTGCGCGGAGTTCCGCGAAGTCGAACGCACCGATGACGGCGTCGTGTTCAAACGCGCGACTCAGCTCGGTCACGACCGCCTCCAGCTGCTCAATCAACTGCTCCATCCACAGCCGCACGTTGTTCAAACACTCTGCGGCCTTGACCAGCTTCCCGGCGCACTGCAGCAGGTAACGCCGTTGTTCCGGCGCAGCGTCCGCGCTGCCAGCACTTTCGCGCAACTGCAGCGCGTGGAGGACCGTGCCGTGCAGCGCAAGAGCGCGCTGCGCGAGCCGCAGCACCTCGGTCGCTTTCGCGCGATTCGACTCGAGCAGCTCTACGTAGCGCAGCGCCTGTCTGCAGGAGTGCGTCACGTGCGGCTGCACGCGCTCGTGCTCGCTGTCCAGCTGCGCAAGCATCGCGGGCACGTCTAGCACGCTGTACGGCGCCGGCGCGCCGCTTGCCGCTGCGCCGTCGCCGCCGCTTGAGAGAAAGTCGACTAGCGCTTGCAACTGCGAGACGAACTGCTGGCGGTGCGCTTCGAACTGCTCCGCGAACTGGAGCAGCTCACGCGACGCTAGTTCGGCGGGCGGTGTAAACGCGAACGCTCGATAGCTGCGCTCCACGCGGTCCGACGCCGCAAGGCCGTCGACGTATGCTGCGAGGAACTCCGAGGGCGAGCTGTAAGAGCGCTGAGTTGCTTCGTCGACGTAAAGCTGCTTCACAACTTCAACGTCCGCGTTCGCTTGCGTATCCGCGTACTGCTTAAGCGCGTCGGAAACCAGCACCGCGTTTTTCGAGAGCTTCGCGCCGATGCGCCGCACCTGGGCGGCGACCTGCGCTTCGTACGCGCTCTTCTGATTCATTCCAAATCCGCGGGTGCAGTGGCCGCTATATTTTGCACCAGAGAAAAACCGGCCGGTGGTCGCTAATCTTCATATCATCAATAGTTTGGTACGCCTTCACGACCAGTTTGTTACGCTCCGTGTCGATGCCGACGCCGCCGAAAATGATACGGTCGCACCAGGACGGAGAGCGGTTCGAGTCGTACAGGTCGCTGTTGACGCAGTACTTGTAGGTAGGCCAGAAGCTGATCGGCGCCTCGTGGCAAACCTGCATGATTTCGCTGTCTGCATGCTTTCGCGCGTGCAGGAACTGGTCGGTTGCGAGCAGGCTCTTGAACTTCGCGGCGAGCACCCACTCGCGGATCTGCGGCGCGCTCGCAGTGAGCGGGAAGTTGAAGTCTCCCGCGATGAACCAGTAGTCCGCGAGGCTGAGCTCCGCCTCGGAGTAGAGTCGGTCGAGCTGCGCAACACGGATTGCGCACCGGTCGCTGTGCTTGTCCGGGTTCAGGTGCACGTTCGCAAAGCAGAAGATTTTGCCGAAGATCTGCAGCTTAATGTACAGTGCGCCCTTGTTCCCGAGCGTGTTCAGCACACCCATGCGGATCGAGTTCGAGGCGACCTCCGCGATGACGGGCCCAGAGACGCAGTTCGCGTAAAGCAGCAAATAGATGCCAGTCAGGCGGCGCGACTCGATCAGCGAGAACTGGTTCTTCATCCCTCCTTCGAGCAGTTCGCGGATTTGGTTGTCCACGGAGCGCGACAGGTTTCCGATCGTGTTGGCGCCGATGCCGTTGATGTTCACGACCTCTTGCAGACAGAACACCAACAGGTCGGCCTGCAGGTGTTCTTTGCGCACGAGCTTTGCGATCTCCGGGTCGTAGCTGGCCTCGCGCTCGCCCATGTTCCAAGTGTAGACAACCAGGTTCAGCTGCGGGCGCGTCGGTTCGTTGTCGTTCAGCGGCTCGGCGGCCGCCAGCCCCGCGCACAGCAGGTCGATCGCCTCTTGCTTGCTGCGGTCGCTGAATCGGTGGCAGTACATGCGCGTGAGGCTGCGCTGCAAGTGCGAGACGTTGGTCAAAAAGGTCGGCTTTTGGCTTTTGAGCAGCGGCGTGAGCACGCTCGGCGTGCCCGCGTAGGCCAAGCTGATTAAGTCCGCTGCCTCTGCCCACAGCGCGCACAGCGTGTCGCGGAAGACGAAGTCGCGGTGGCTGCTCGGAAAGTTCGCGGAAAACGAGTTGCTCTCGGGCGGGAACAGCAGGTCTGTTTTCGCGCCGCCGCTCGGCTCGTAGCGCCACAGC